GTAATCGCATGCGATTGTCAAGCGCATCTCGTCAGTAAAGCCAGTTCCGTGATTGGTAGTAAATCGCCATAATCGAATGCGATTCATCTGCGATTATGAATGCGATATTGCCTTGCTTGTCAGTGAACTACGGCTCTGTGTAGTGAATGCCGCTCCATCTGAAAGCAGGTGATGGCGATTTACTACCAATCACGGAACCGGCTTTACTGACGAGATGCGCTTGACAATCGCATGCGATTAATTGCACAGCCGTAGTATGATTACTTTTTCTTGTGTATTTTTTGGTATGTACAGGTCAGAATAAGTATTGCTTCATTTTTTTGGTTTCATTTTTGTTTTGCTGAATTACAATGAAACAATTTTTCATGCATTTTTTTGACAGTTTATTTTATTTTTTACAAAGGTTATTTGAAACATTAAAGTAGGGCTGAAACGATTCCTTGAATACCTCGAGAAACTCGAATACAAAAAATCATCGAGGCAAATTATTTGCCTCGTTTAGTCCATTTACTGTAACTACACACGGAACACCGTGTTTCCCCACGGACCATTAATACTGACGCACAACCCGATAAATGCTGGACCAGACCATAGACAATAGACCGCATAAAAACAGGGACCAGACTTTAAAAAAAAAAAAAAAGCTCTTGGCATATTTAAGACCGTAAATCAATATGGTGGTTAGTTATAATGTCCCTACGTTAGCTATGTTTTGTGAAAGACTAAACGCCATTGTGCATAAAAATACCACACGATTAATCGTTTAAAAAAAAAAAGATGTCGATTTGATATCGATTCTCAAAAGCCGCGAATTGATCTTTTCCGTTATTTATTTCAGCACACATTTAAAACAAGATCTGATTAACGTGAATCTTATCACTAGTCTTCTCCACTAGATGTCACCCTAACAGCCACAGTGCTGTTTTGCGTCTCTGTGCTACATGAGGCGTTTTGTTTCTGAATTAATCACCCGTTTAAATGATTTGGTTCAATCGCAATGACTCACTTCGTAACAGTGACTTGCTGCCACCTGCTGGCGGTTTTTCATTTTTAAAATAATTTTAAATATCAGTATTCAATGTTTTATGTTTAAAATAACAAAA